ATGGTGATCTGGTGTGTCTGTGGACCTGAACGCGTTGGCATTGGAGGCAAGCGCGGGCCCATTGGAAGATATCCTTTTTGATATTAGGCCAGACGAAACGTTCAGTGATGAGTTTCACTGGAGCGCGTACACCAGGATGTGACAGGTTATGCTGAATAAAGAAAACCTGTCGACAGAAAGGTTGGGGTACTAACGGACGGGGAGGACCCTATGATAATTCGCAGATGATAGTACGTTCCAATGTATAAAGCTGTACTGGTCGGAGATAGAGGGAGCAGGCGGTCTGCAGCTGCCGGACCTCCGGATCATCCACCTGGGATGCGGCCATGGCCTCTAGGTCTATGGTAAACTGATTTCCGGTAATCGAATGTACGCGTGAAAAAGCGTCTACTACGAGATTATCCTCCCCCGAGACGTGTCGTATATTTGCAGTAAACTGAGATACATAGTCAAGGTGGTGGATCTCGCCTGGTGAGTAACGGTCGGATGCTGACAGCAATGCATAAACCAGTGGCTTGTGGTCTGTAAAGGCCGTAAACGCACGACCTTCAAGGGCATGTCTGAAACGACGTATGCCCAGGTATATTGCCAGTAGTTTCCTACCGAAGGTGCTATACCTAGACCCTGCAGGTTGTAGGCGCTTGGAGAAAAATGCTAGGGGTGCCAGCAACCATTAACCCGTTGTTGTAGCACTGCTCCAACGGCCACGTCAGAGGCGTCAGTGACTACTGACAGAGATGCAGAAGGGTCAGGATGCTTAAGGAGAGCTATATTGGCGATAGCTTCTTTAATAGAGGCAAAAGCAGTTTTTGCTGCATCCGGAAAATCAAATTTACGCCTGCCTCCGTGTAAGAGGTCAGTGAGAGGGCGCATGATCTCTGCGTCAGATGGGATAAACCGGCAGTAGAAGTTTACCATATCAGCAAATCGTCGCAACGGGCGATAGGAGGAAGGTTCGGGGAAGTTGCGGATGGCGGTTACTTTGTCCGGCAAAGGCGTGATGCCTGAGGCTGCTATAGTGTGACCTAGGGAGCTGAGGGTAAGCTTACCCAGTTCGCACTTAGTGGGATTAACAGTAACACCATATTTAGCTAGACGCTCGAAAAGGGCTCGCAGGTGTGTCCTGTATTGTTCTTCGGGACAACTCGCCACCAGGATGTCATCAAGATACACATATAAATTATCCAAACCGCGGATTACCACGTGCATAAACCTTTAAAAGGTTTGCGCGGCACTGCTGAGCCCAAATAGCATGCGGAGGAATGCAAATAAGCCGAAACTTGTCACTACTGCGGCTTGGGAATGTCCACCTCTGCCACCGGAATTTAGTGGTGTGCACGGACCAGGTCGTTGCGACTAAATATAGTGGAGCCAGATAGGGAGGAAGTAAGATTCTGTAAGTGTGGGATGGGATACCTATCTGGGACGGTGACTCGGTTGAGGGCTCTATAGTCACAACAGGGACGCCAGTCAATATTGCTTTTGAGGACCAGATGAAGAGGGGAGGCCCAAGGGCTGTTTGAGGGGCGAATAATGCCCAGTTCGAGCATGTGATCGAACTTTGACCTAGCTGCTTTCAGCTTGTCCGGTACCAGACGTCCTGGTCTTGCGAACACTGGGGGCCTTTGGTGGCAATCTGGTGGGTGACATCGGTGACCACCGCAGGGATGGGGCCTGATGAGTGCATCAGGGTGGAAAACGTAGCAAACAGGTCGCTATACGAATCCTTAGGGAGCGGTTCGACGTAAAGCGGCGTGATAGAGTTCACGAAAGAGTATGAACCGGTCATGGAGAGGTGGGTGTGGCTGTCTACCAACCTAGGCGTTTGGGATCAAACATAAGGTCAAAATGCTGGAGGAAGTCGATACCCATGATAGGAAATGGGACCGCTGCAACCAAGAACACCCAGCGGAAAGTGCGACGTATACCGAAGTTTATTGTTAGGGACTTTCGACCATACGTAGAAATCGGGGTGCTGTTTGCGGCACGAAGTTGGCAGGACGCGGAAGTGTTCGGGTCACCAGAGCTTAGCTGGAAAACACTGACTTCCACGCCTGTGTCAATGCGGAATTGAGTGCTGCTAGAAACATCCCTGACGTGAATGAGGCGACTACATAGGGATCTACCAGCAGAGTTTCTCGCCACAACTGGTCAGGTCTTCAGTTTCCCTGGCTTGCGCCGGGAAAAGTGCATCCAACTTCGCACCCTCGAGCCTTTGTTCCATAATACCGGTGATACCAACAGTAACCTGGAGGGTAAAGAGCGAGAGCACGTTGGGATGATGGGGCACGATTTGGGGATCTGGATCGGGAACGTGAAGCACTCCGTTTTCCACGGTCATTATTAGATAGACGGTCGAGGACTCGACACATCATGTCTAGGAGCTTGTCCATTTTTTTTATCCAATGCAAAACAATGGACTACACGGGAAACAGTGCTAAGGGTGGTGATATCGGTGGGCACTGGGGTTTGGGCTACCACGGATACCTGGGGGCGAAAACGGACCATCACCTCATCGGCGATGGATGTCGCAACCGTCAGAGGGGACGTACGGGTGGTGGGAGTCGCTGCATCCAGAGCTCCCTTATAATCTCCTCACTGGTAACCGATGGTCCTATAATTTGCTGCATTTCCCGTAGTGGGGTTGATGGGGTGCGATCCCCAAGTGACAGGTCTTTAAAAAGATGCCGTACTCGTTTAACGTCGGAAGGGGAAGTTCGTTAAATCACGACCTCTTTATGGTCCTGTGCCACCTGACCTGACCTGACTTGACCTTGGCGGTACGTTCGAATTCGGTTGTATCCCTCGCTGCTCTTGCTATTGTTAGTAACTTTTTCTGTTATTATCAGTTGAAGGTGAACCAGATCATTGGTTTACGTTAACAATCAGTGTTTTTCACACAGTCAGTGTTAACGGTACTAAACAGCAAACGTTGACCTTGCCCTATCTACCTGTAACCCAATAATTGTTAGCTTACTATAGGTTTATCAATAAATTTCCAACTTTTTTCATTGTTTGTGGATTAGCTTGCTTAACTTTCAGTACCTAATCCGGTTTAAAAGTATTGTTCATTACTAATGCCATGTGTTTCCCATCCGTGTCTGGGGTAAAGTGCGGAAAATTAGTTCTGAAGGGCATACAGTGTGACGCCTGTAGCCCATCCCAACTGTTCAGGAATACTCAAGTGTCACTACAACTTCTACTGTGTAAACAGTGAAGTTGACTGGATCTATGGCCACTGCAAGGATGCAGCGCACCAAGCCTGGATGGTTCATCAAGCCGAAATACAAGACACGAATATTGCGATTATTACCGAGCAACCGAGGAAGCTCAAGCGGACTCCCCTCGCCAATCTGGGAACGGCGACACCAGCCCCGCAAAGAGATCAGACAGCAAGCTACCAGACCTAGTACACAGCAAAAGCTCAACAACGATAAAATGGATAAAACCGAAACGGTACCCCGGGTGAACCCATTACCTGCA